TATAATATCTATATGTGACGTGATGGCCTGGTTCATAATGGGGAGAGAAAAATAGCTGAAAGATGGCAATAGGAAGTGATTATTTGAATAATAATATCGAGTTATTGACCACTGAATCGATTCTTCAATCCACGTCTATGCATTGTTACATTTCTCAAGGCACATTGTTATTAGATGCCATTGATGTAATTTTTTCAGCCCTTGTATTCAAACTATCTCTTTGAGCTCTCAGAATACACAAAGCACTGCTAGTGGAAAATGAAATTCAGTTAACAGCAACCCTAACAATAAACTGTCGCCTTGTGCTTTGGCCTGACTAAAAAAGATCCTCTCCAATGATCTTTAATTGTATAAATGTTTTTGTCTTTTTGATGGTTTTAAGTTCCGGTCCCTTTAAGTAAAGAATCACATTTAATCATGTTTAGTAAGAAAAGCTTTATTGTTAGAGGCTTTCTGGAGGACAAATGCAGATCTGCATGCTGACCTTTAAATAAAACATAGCGTTTCAAAGACTTTATAGATTCTGATTTTTAAAAAAAATGAATGTATGCAAATCATCTCGTGCAACATTAGATATATTAGGGAACAAACATGAGTTTCCCTCTGACATTATGGGGGAGCTGATTCCTAACATTTAGCCTAATTGAGTGTAATTTATCGGTAGCACAAAAACAGTGAGCTAATGTATTCATGTAGTGATAAATCAGTAGGGATGAGTGTTAGGCGCTTTGTGTAAAGGTCAGAGTCAAGGAAAGGAAATGGAGACAATGCATTTAGGAGGGTATGAAATATATTCCTCCTTGGCACGCTGTCCCACCAGTAATATCTTTTAAATATTTTGTGCTAACTCAGTGCGCTGAAATGTCATGCTGAGGCGGAGACATCTTGAGAAAATTAAGAGTAATATAGCCGGAATATTGAAACAAGTATCTCTAAATCTGTGTGTGGGTGTGGGTGGGTGTGTGTGCGTGTGCTTGGCTGTATGTGTGTGTGGGTGTGTGTGGGTGTAGGCAGGATATGACACTGTATTACATTTTCTGTGTATGGATCTTCAACATTATATATGCCTTCCCTGGAGTTTCCATTTCCAGATTTTCCGCAATCAGCCTTTCCCACCGTCACCCCACCAACTTCTCAACGCACGCACTGACACACACAGACACACACACTGATGCACACCTTCTTTGGCTTCCTCCCAAGGCGGTCAAACAGATTACTACGGGCGTTAACCCCATCGATCTGCTCCAAATGCCAGGAATTAGATTTCAGACTGGGGAGGAGAGAAATAAAGTGCTGTAGTATTTCTTGCTGCTCGACTTGAGAGTTAAGTGCTGCTATGCCTCTCTCAATGTACCCGTTTTTTCCTCAGAACTTCTTCGTGTTATATTTTTTCTCACTTTATTGCTAGTAAGGAGCATATTTCTCTGGAAAAACTGGGATGTAAGACCCAAACCTCTCGAGGAACTGCTTGGGAGACCTTGAAATATACAAAAAAAAACTGTCTACTTTTGAGTAAGGATATACAAGATTGAAATAAATAAATGTGAGAGCAGAACAAGTGGCTCATATATATAAGGAACAATAATCATTTTTCTTAAAATGTATTTTTTTCCATATATAATGGGAGCCATCACTCTTAGGTTAGTGAATCACTCCTTTGTGAGGTTGTAATGGAGGACTGGTTTATTACTGTTTGACTCTGCTTTATTAGTGCACTCTGAATGTCAGGCTGATACGTCTTCACTTTCTTTTTTTTTTTCACTTTCTCGTCCCATCACCATCACTATCTCAATGTCTCTTTCCCCTCAAACCTGCTTCATGTCCGACATTAAGCTCTGCAGAGTCTCCATAGCTGCATAAGTATTGATTAATGTCCGACTGGTTGTGCTACCTAATGACAGTCTAAATATAACCATCTCTACACCGGCCCTGCCGCCGCCTCCTCCCTCATCTTGGCTCAAAGTGTGGATAGTTACACCGTTGGCATGACAACACAACAGTCAAGGCTCTGTGAGCAGTCACAACAGATTGTGTGCATGTGTGCCCAGCACAAGTAGGACAAGATGAATGAAGCAAGAGGGATGAACAGACAACGTGAGAAAAAGACGAGGTAGCTTTTTAATGTTGTGATTCTTAATTACTTTTCTTAGTCGAGCAATGGCACAGTACTTGCCACTAAAATATTTGATAAGAGATGGAAAGGTGTATGGAAGGATTTGGTTAAAACCCTTAATAGATAGTTGGTGAGTTTATTAATAATAAATAAAGCATCACTTGTCAAGAAGAAATGCTACAAAATATGAAGGTTTAGATGTTCCATTGTATGGATTTGCTGCTTAATTGTGATATTGTTATATACTGTGATACTGTGTTTTGGGGGTCCACAAATTTTCATGAATTAATGTATTTATGATTAAATATCAGTAATGCAGTATCTTCATACATGAATTACCAGTAATGCATTCACTAAGGTGTTCAGTCATCAGTTATGAACATCCCTGAGTCTTTAACACTTAAGTCATGAAGAAGAAATGCTGAAGTAACCATGATCGACACTTGAACTTCCCTTTAACTTGTTTGTAAAGAAATCATGAACATCCCTCAATAACTCATGACGACTGAAACACCTTAGTAAATGCATCAATGAATGAAGATACTGTTGAATACATGGGCGTAACTCATAATGAATACATGCTTTAATTCATGATTAATTCATGCATGACATTTATGATACGTGTGGACTCTTATCTGAAGTGTTATCAGTAGACAGACAATCTACACGCATACAAACAGAGACAGCTACAGTCATTTAGATCATTTAAGACAAATCTGGGAGTGAAAATAACATTTTGAGAAAGAAAGAAGAAACTGAACAAAAACATAAATGAGAAAAATGAAATGGGTGTTTTGTTTGATTTGGTTATACCTACCTGTGTGAGTGTTGCCTGTAGGAGAGAGTAGAGAGAGAAAAAGAATAGTTTGGACTGCTGGACAAGAAAGCATTAAGTTGGAAGATGTTGTAGTCTTTAAGATTTTAGGATGAGAATTACACTTTTCCCTCACATTTCATAGACCAATTGATTTAGTAAAGTTTATCGGATTTATTTATTGACCTTTATATGTTTGTCATTCCCCAATTATAACATGTGGATAATTTTTAAGCTATTTTAGAAGCTCAGTGGTATTTTTCTAATATAAATATGGTTAAAGTGATCATAATATACATCATCATCAATATACAAACCACTGCTTAAACATTGTGGTCACAGACACACACATTCACACACACTTGTTAAGCGTCTCTTTTTTAGGATTTCAAACACTGTCAAACAGTTGTATTTACTGAAGAAAAAGCGAGGAACATAACCATTCTTCCCCACCTACACCACATTGTCATTCTCCGTATGAAATCATCTTAAACCTGCTGTATCACCAGGCTCTATTGTGCTCACACTGACAAGTTGAGTTGCCCACATTTTCTTCTCTGTTGCATGGTAACAAAGTGAGAGTGGCAATCCTAGCAGCCCACCTTGTTATGGCCAGCTGGTTAGAAATGAATGGTAAAAGTATGCAAATGGGATATGTTCTGTAATAGCCTGCTGCTTTATTCCGCTGTGTGAATAGGATAAGGAATCCCCACCGTGTCTAATCACATCCTCTCCCTCTAATTTCACCTGAGGCATATCCACAATCTAGTGTGCTTGTGATGTCAATACAGGATATATTGTTCTCTGTATGTGCTCAGGGGAAAGCCTATTTATACCAGTAATTGGTGTTCTATATTTGACAATTTGAAAGGGAGTCACACAAAAATACTTGATTATTTAAACACACCAGTAGCTCATGATTAAATCTGACTGCAGCAGCTTGTGCATTTTCTCCTCCTTCAAAAGAGAGAGAGACAAGAAGAGAACACATATTGTACACATGTGTCTGCCATGACACCTGCCCTGCTCTTTACAAAGTTAACAACACATCGCACACATGTTTGGATAGACGTCTCATCCCTCCACATTCAGTTTTTCAATCTGCGCTGTGTGGGCCCCGCCATGCTTGTTCTTCAGTGAGAAATCTCATTCAGTCGCCGCCTGATGGCTAACAAGGTCAAATAACTCTCCAGATGAGATGGACTCTGTCAGAAGGCGCCAACACGCACACCACCTGCCTTTCAGCCAGCCAGCCAGTCATCTGTCCGTTGGCCACACACAGAATGACATCCTGAATTGAGTGTGTGTTATAAAAGACTGAGGCTGGAAGTGTTCAGCGCTGATAGGAATATCATTACAAACTGTGGAGATCACAGCAAAACCAGTTAGCCAGTTGTTGTACCATCAAAAGTGACCTACGCTGTTTTTTCTTCATCTCTCTCTTATTTCTCTCCCTTCTCTCCCTTTCACACACTCTTTACCTCGGGTTACTATAGCAACATAAAATGGCTGCAGCACTGGATCAGAGCGGGGGCCCTGCTCATGCAGTCTTTGAGATACGTAGTTTAACATGATGATTTGAAAACACACACAGATTCAATTACTGTATGTCGGCATGTTAAGAGAGTAAAAGTGATTAAATATTTAGTCTCAGATTGTTTCTCATGAACAGTGAACATTATAGTGAACTAGTGAGCAAGCAGTTTTTTCTTGTAGTGCATCCTTCACAGCATGTGGAAGTATAATGACAGTGAGGGAAGCAGATTTTCTTGCACTAGTGGTAGCTATTGATTTATTGAACAACAGAAGGACTCACAGAGTACAGTGTCAAGTGTTGAACTAATTTATGGACAATTTCCCCAACTATCAAATATTTCAAGTACCCACAGTCTCCCATTGCTTACAGAGCAACAAAAAGTCTGTATGTTAAGATTTTTGTCTTCCAAATGAAACTTACAATGCTTCTCTTTTTCCTTGTTTCCCTCTGCCTACCTCTTTCCCAACTTTATCTCTCTTTCCTCTTCTCCACCTCTCTCTCTCTCTCTCTCTCTCTCTCTCTCTCTCTCTCTGCAGTGTGACAATGCCAAGGGGCTGAGGGCCTTCTTTGATGCAATCTGCTACGGCCCCAAACACCTGATGATCTTCGGCGGAGTCTGCCCCTCTGTGACCTCCATCATCGCGGAGTCCTTGGAGGGCTGGAACCTGGTCCAGGTAGGGTTTGCACAGTATATATCATAGCGTGTGTAATTTATGTGTGTTGAATATATACGTTCACTGTTTTTGAACACTGGATGCTGTAGTGCCAAGCCGTTCAGTGGATCACTTCTGTGTACATGCTTTTACATGGTCTCTCAGATTTGTATGTTTTCAAGCATGTTTTCTATCAGAGAACCTGAATTTGAGAGTTAGAGTTTCCCGCACTTCCTTTCCCTTATATATACGGTGTGCAGATGTAATCCAGGATTTTAAAGGGGGCTCCAGCTCATGGATTAATCCTTCATTAGCCTTGCCAGGGTGAATTTCTAATTGGCGTAGCTCTTATATGCAGAATCCTCCCTCGTTCTACAACCAGACAGATTTAAATAAGCTTAAACTCTTGGTGCAGCATAGAACTTGATATCAGTTTTGAAAAAAACTTCCCAAAACACGCTCTCACACTGCAAAATGATTGAGAGCATATTTTCAAATTATTAAACAATCTGAGGCTTTTTTTCTCACATTGATGTGTTTTTGGCATGAACACAAAAAAGTTCTACTAATCAGTCCTGATGATGTGAATTATCAAGAACAGAATAGATTCTCTATAAACGTCTTAAAGCTTTATGACTTCTCCCTGCAGGCGTTAAACACCCCTCATTCCTGCATCTGGTAAACTTTTGACCCCCTAACTTTATTGCACACAGTTTCTTTGACTCTGCACTGTTCTGCTGTACCAAAGAGGGGAAATGCTTCATCCAAAGAATACATTCCATTTGCTGTGAACTCTACAAAGGTTATCAGACGACGATAAGAAAGGAGTGAAGCTTGTGTGCGGGGGAGATAGCAAAAAATTCAAGAGGCTGCATTTTGAACTGAATGTCACATTACTCGGCATATTTCTTCCACACACACAAAAAAAAAAGACTTTGAATCTGCTGCTTTTTATGCCCCTCTTTGCTCGCTGTCTTGTCAGGGTCACTTACGATTGAAAAGACCGGGCAGGATGAGCGAATGAAAGGAAGCCTCATTTTTTTGTTTCTGTGTTCACTTTCCTTGGATAGTAATGAGCTCACATTAGAAAAAGAGGTTTTTGAGTCAGAGATGAATTTCTAGTGCTCTTACGTAGTTGTCTGTCTGTGTGTGTGTGTATGTGGGCTCCCCCTCTCAGTTTATTTGGCTTGTTTGCTCGTGATTACCTGTGAGAAGTGTGGTAGCAATCTTAAGCTCTGCAGTAGAGTTTGTGTGGTACAATATGTTCCCCAACCAGGCTCCTTTTTTAGCTGCAAGTACGAAAAACAAACCATGCCAGTGTGATCTCAAATACACATTGTGACACAAGTCAAACAAGTCACTCTTGTATTCAATGCCCGGGGCCACATGTAAAATTTCCACAAGCAGGTTGAAACACGAGCTTGATGTTGTTGGTGTTAGGGGCCGATAGACGGTACAAATATATAACAGATATATGGCAGCCAATATGGGCTGATATAGACACACACCAATGCTAAATGCAATGATAATGGTGATTTTGAAAATGCAAAATATTGCAGAACATGATAGCTGAGTGGACAATGATCAGCATATGAATAAGACTGCAGGTATGAACTTTAATGTTTAACAGAGTTTACTATTTTTTTTGTAGGAAGCCTTCTGAGTATGTGTTCGTAGACATGGATAAAGAAAAAACATACATTCTTTATCAATTTGCAAAATGTATTAACATTCAGGCTGTAGTTGTTACAGATCATTATTAAACTAAACAATAATGTAAATACCTGGACTGAGTAGCAGGATGTCTTTGCAGACCTAAGCTGCATCCTCCTCAGTGTATGACTCACCAAGCAGCCATAATGTGCACTGGAAACCTGCAGAAAGAAACGTCAGTGAATGTAAACAACACACCAGATAGCTTTCAGGTGTTCTCTGAGGCACACATGTGCAGTGAGATGGCACCTTGCTGTTCAGCTTGAGCCTCTCTGCTCCATCTCTCAGCCCATTGACTTCCACTTGTTCCCACTGAACGTGTCTGTGTATCCCTCATGTGTGTGGACATGTGTGTATGAAAGGGCTGAAGTCTGAAGGTGGGAATGAGAATGGGAGTTGTAGAGTACGAGAGAGAGAGAGGGATGATTGCATTTTATAAATACTGCTGTCCAAAACATCAAGCCTGCAACATTAGCACGAGATGTTTCTAAAATGTGAGCTCTGTTGTATTTTTAACCCAACCCTGTCACCTTGTCGCTTGAAGACTTGAGTTGGTGTGGATTGAAAAAGAGAATTCTTCTTGGTGATGTTCAGGGCCAGGCTCAGCAAGCTCATCATTTCCTCTTCAAAACTGTGAGCGTGCAGATACTCTCTACTGTAGAGACAGCTGAGAGAACAAGCTCGCATATATAAAAAAAGAGAAGATCACACACTCTTAAAAATAGCTTTCAGTCAGTGTTGATGCCTAATGAAGTCAGCATTGAAAGACTCACAGAAGAAACCACAGTGCATGCTTTTGGCGACCCCTGTGGACAAAACGAAAGCCTTATCTCTTGTCCTGTACATGTGTCAGTGGCGTTTGCCAATAAAGTCATTATTATGTCTTTGTTTAAAACAACTAACATGCAACTCAAATGATATCTTAGGTGTGACATATAAAAAAAAGGAAAAGGCTGTTTGTTTAGCTTGTTTTTATTGCTTCATCTGACACCAAACGCCCCGGCAGCACTTTCATGCTCAACAAGATAGGACCAGTCAATGTTTGCACTGATAGTCTTCTTTACTATTTTGTAGGCTTTTTGAAGAATCAATATACATTTCACACGAGGTTATTACCTGCTAAACAAAAAAACTCCTCACAGGAGCTTGAGAGTAGAAGAATCAGTGCCAATATTTGTTTTACTGAAAGCCAAAGGCCAACATCTTATTTCCTTTTAGAAATTTGAATAATGTCTGAAAATAAATATATCCTTACAGTTTTTTTTTTTATAACTATTGGGGTTAAAGGTTGATACAATGATACAAATATATGATTTAATAGTTGATAAAGACTGATGAAGAAGGACGAGCTGAGCTAACTCTGTTCATGGGGAGTTTCTTAATGGACCTCTACAACTTATAAGGAGGAGATCACTCTACTGACTTCTCTGCATACTGTATATTGTAGAAGAGGGAACATTTTGGGGAAACAAAAAGAGAATAGAGTAAAGCTTAATAAAAGACCTGCACTCTTTCATCCCTTTTTACATCTTAACAAGCCGTGATTTGAGTTATGCACTTAACAAGAAACAAATTAAAGCAAGCCAACTTCTCTCATAAACATGACTTTTTAAAATTAATGAATCCGTTCAACCTTTATCTAAATCTCAAAGAATCATTGAGGGTTTGTCCTCATTTTCAATGATGTAGAGAGCACTACAAAACAGAATGAGTACAGAGAATGGCAACAACACAATCAAAAACGATCATTTACATCGCTTGAATTCAAATTAGAAACCCCTTTAAGAACGACTGTTTAACATTCCTATCATAAAATAGTTATTCTGCTAGTGAAGTGTCTGCGTAGAATATCTTGACTTGAGAAATATAAAATAATAAAGAGATAATTGTCCAGTGCCGTCGTTAATTATCAACAATCACATCCTAATTTCATTTCTCCACTGTTGCGAGGATAAAGACTCATAGAACATGATCAAAGCCAGAGCCAGTGTGGCTAAGACAACCCTGTAACAATAGTGATCAGCCGTGTGTGCACAGATGGCATGTCATAGTGATCAGATTGCCCGCAGCATTATTGTTAATCTCTGTATGTGTGGTATGTAAGGATTGACCTGTTTGTGACACTCCCTCTCTATCTCATGTCTGGCCTTGCTGTAGAAATGTTTGGTTTGTCGACTTCCCCTTACTTACTGCCACATTTTGTAATTCAGTAGTGTACATGTGCTAACATGACCGCACCCTCAAATTAAAATGGTAGATAAGAATGCGTCCAGGGTGGATGGACAGATGGCGAGAAGCGGATTGAGGGAATGATGGAGGAATAAACAGACAGTCGCACACATCGCCTGTGAGAGCATGAGAAGTGAATCTCAAAGTACCAGGGCAAGATGCAGCTGTGTGTGTGAGCTGCCATCAGCCACAAACGCCTCTGATTGCTGTGTTTTTTTTAATTTCCTCAAGACAATGACTGTTGAAATCAGCCTCTTGGCAGCCATCTTGGTCTGTGATTAATCTTGTGTTCTCCTCACCATGATAGCATATCATTCTAGAAAGCATTTGGCGAGCGTTTTAAATACTCGCTGGCACAGGTATCCGTAAACCAGTCAACATGCTGCACTCTCTTCAACCATTTATTCCCAACTTACACAGTTCTTTTCCTCTCCACACAGTGGTGAAGGATATTTTCTGTAAATGGTTCGTTGAGTGCCAGGAAATAGTCCAAGCCCACCCTCTTCACCAGTTGCTGTCCCTCTTCTAACTCACCAATTAGTCATATCAATGACGGCACTGTTCATTTTCATCAATGTCGGCTGTGTAATGAGAAATTATCGTTCCAGATCATTTGTGCCTCTTGTAAGAGAAGAAGGAGACAAGAGGGCGTTAGTCCTGAACAGAAGAGATCATTTGCAGAAATAGGCTTCAATGAAAAAGGCTTTTGGTGTCATGTTAATATTTTGTCCACTGTAAAAACAATATGGAGAAGAGGCAATTGTGTATTTCTCCTTTTTCAGGTTGTTTGAAAACAGAAGTGAAGATGAGATTTCACCGGTGCATGATATGGATAATTAAGCTGTAGGCTTTTTACTGGCACTCATTTAGAAAAAAAATGCAGGCTAGAAAATCCTCCTCCTCTGTTTGTGCGATTCTTTGTTGTACTTTTGATATTTCCAGGTGCCCTGTTCCTCTCTGTTTTGTGTGCAAAACTTGTGAACCAATCCTTCAGAAGACATCAATATATATATATATATATATATATATATATGAAGGCTTGGAGGAGGAAAAAGTGTATGCGCCTTCCGAGGGTATTA